GAGCAATTGCGCGCGGTATCGATTGATATCCATTTGACCAATTAAAATCGTGGTAACCTGTTGTGCGTAGTTCAATTTCGAGGGGTTCCTAAAATATTTTAAATTTCCAGGTAATTTAAGTGGATGTAAATAGAATTTATTCTCGATAGAAGGTGGGAGAATATTTCATCCATTTTTCATTTAGACTGGAGCATTGCCCTTATTTGGACAGAGATCTGCATAAAGCGCTCTTACAACTTAATAAAGTGCGTTTTCTCATTCTAGATTATGTTAATTTGAAAAAACAATGGCAATTGTTCAATTTAAGGCATCTGATTCTAAATCAAAGCAATGATTCATTTACGAGGACATAAACCGTATTTGCCTATAAGTAAATAAATAACTAAATAAGTGCATAAACAAATACCCATTCCGTTTAAACATAGCGACCTTGAAGACGGAAGGAGATATAATACTAGGGCATAATGTGTATTGCCAAAGTACAAAGGGGCTGGAGCTATTGGCTTAGCCCGGAGGCCATGCCGCCTGGCATGGGTACAATAGTGGCCCCCTAAATGGCCCATTACCAAAACCGGGAATTTAACTAACAATTAAAGTATTTATCTAAAAGTGCATTCAATATAATAAATTTACATCGAATCATAGTATCTCGAAAGAATGGGAGTTTGGGAATGAGTAATGACAGCGAAATCATTTTCATGACTATCATTTCTTCTAAATGTACTATCTATCTACGAAAAACGAATGTAGGAAAATGTTCGATCAACTTCACAACTTGATCAAATGAACTATTGACCAATCAATGACCTAGAGTGTACATAATCTGTACGAATATAGCATGTAAGCTTGCACGACTTAAAAATGAAGTCCATGCATAAAAGCATGTTTCTAAATGTCTGTTAAATGTTTTAATGACTATTGCACGCCTGTTATGAGCTCCTCATTGTTTAGATGTTTGGATAAGCCACATTTTACGACGCATTATGGCACACAAAAATGGTTATAAATGCTATTCCGAGGGTTGATGACTATCCATCCCCAGTAGTTGCGGGAAATTAAAGATATTCGACAAAAATGGGGACTTATTCTAACACCCTTTTAGGTAAAGTAATATATTTACATCCTATGTTGCAATTTTTAACGGATAAACACAAATTCCTTCAATTTTAGAGTGAAATTTAGGGAGTAGAGGCAAATTTAGTGGGAGAAGCTCGGATGAATGCAAATAGGAATGATGTGAAATATTTAGCTATGCAGACCCTTTTTAATCCCTTGACGTTGGTGGCATGGAGGTCTCCCCAGGCATTCTGGTGCGCATTTAAGTAATGCTACTCCGATTCCTGTAAGCATTACATCTTCAAGAATGAATTCGTGTGCTAGACAAAAATATAATGTCTTGGTAAAGCGCTCTAAGTCTTTCCTAAAGATGATTGGAGGCCTAATACTAAGGCAGAGCAAGTGCTGCCGACGTACCGGCAGTCACCCAGCAGAAGTACAAAGGTGGAGAATAAAGGGCCTGGAAACTGAAAAGAACAAAGAAACTAATTAAATCATTGAGGATAGAATGAGAAAAATACAGCAAAACTTCAGACATTGTAGAACCCTGCTAACTACAAATTAGCTGATTTCGCAATGCAAAGTTAGTTGATGTCTATCTCGAACTTTGGAACATTGGTTATCAATTACTAAATCAGGTCAATGTCAAATGTCTCCAAATTAATTATCACCTTGCTTACAAATCCTCAGCAAGCCCTGAACACAAACTAACGCAAATGTTTAAGATACTACCAGTTTTTGATCAAGGCACATCTTTCAGTCAAAAATTTCCAGCTTCCTAAAATTTATGTGGAATGCTGGACGGTGTCAGATGCTTTTGAAAAAGTCATAATTAATTTTTTAAAAATGAGCACTAAACGATGCAACGAATTCTATGCTATTCTAACACAAATGCTGAAAGTTATTGAGTGTACTGTTAAGATCCGGTCTTCTGAATGCCCACACTGATAGCTGAAAATCGGTATTATCGGCCATGACCTCCAGCACAGCAAGATCAGAATGGCATAAGCAACAAACATCAATTCTGAGTGTAATCAGCCCATCCATAAATATGACGAGGTCGTAACCACCCGCTGCGATGACTACTGCAAAAGCAGGCTCCTTCAGTATCTAATTAACCAGGCAAGTGGATAACCTCCGCCAACATCACTATCCTGGAAACGCATGAATGCTTTTACGTTGACGACATAATTTCCAGCGTCAGTGTTGGTGCATTGCCATATTACTCATCATTATAAGCGCCATCTGTATATCTAGAAGGGCATTGCAGAACGACCTTCATGGTATTCCACGAATTGACTAACATGGATATACTTTGGAGCTCCGCTCGTGTCCATTACGATGGTAATCTCTTAGCCCTTCTTGTCATTAGTCATAAGACCAATATAAGACTCATATGCTTTGTGACATCCCTGAAAACAGACCAGCTGAAAAGTAACTGAATTAGTAATTGCATTAATTCTATTTACAATGCAGAAAACCATGATTTGGTAAGGTCACTGCTTAGCCGAAAATGTCCTATTTCCTGGAATTTCGAAATGTGCTACTCACATGATTTGGCCACAGGATTAAATAACGATTATTGTTGCTTTAATACATTAATTGTTTAAATCTCGTCCTTGATAATAAGCCACTTAGGTACTCCGTTGTTATACCTCTTACCGGCGATCCGGTCTCTGGACCACGTCAGTAGCACCAGTCCCTTTTGTAGGTCGGTAATACATATTCTGCCCCAGTAATATGGCTTCTATAGTCTTCAAGACAGTCTCGTGGAGCTACAATGACAGTTGTACTGATGGTAGAAAATTTCAACAGTCATTTGGGTGATATTTTGCTGGCATTTACACGTTACTCGTAGCTTACAACGCGTTATACTACACCTGCACGAGGTAACCGGGTAACTACATCCTCCGGGTGGTGGCGTCCAAACTACAGGTCATGAGTTCGTTAATGAACACGGCGTTACTAGGCTAGCTGCCTAGTTGGCTGATTTTGGGAGATTGATAAGTCGGAAGCAGGCGGTACAACAAACACTGCAATCTGATCGACAAATTAATTACCGGTCCCCGTCTTGTCCTCCACCCCTCACCTGTTTCGTCTGACTAATTACTTCACTAATTGATTAATTTACGACCTACTGAAAGGTTGGACATTTAGGGAATGCAGACCTATCTGTATGTGTACTGGGTGCATTGGGTACTTTGTGGACCCGTTTGACAAAAAAAGAGTGGGTGAAAGCCGATTTTCTAGGAACTCGAACATTGGTTAAAAAGCATTCTCAGGTGACATGAAATTGATTATGGATGGTAGATTTTATTGGTTACATATGCCGCTAAAATTTGTGCAGGTGAGGAGAGTGGAATCCGGTTTCAAATAGTACAGGCCACAACGGTAATTTACATTTTAAGGGCAGGAGTAAGAAGCCGACAAAATCACCAACAGATCGAATAGTGAGGTAACAAGAGACTAAGGATGTCTCAAGGTTGGATCACCAATGCATACTTTCAACAATGATAAAGTGGAGTTAAAAAGCTAGAAGCAAATCTGTGGTCTTACAGCAGACAAGAAGTTGCTGAATTGTAGCAGAATTGTAATTTTTTATAAAATACGGCTACTCAAATTCTTCCTTCTTCTATTATTCGGTTCAAGCAACTCGCGCGCTACTCATCTCTCATCTCAGCCTTCCCTATTGATAGAGTTTTCTGGAACTTCAGAGAAGACCTTGTGGCCTACAAAGATAACCGAGCACAATCCGAGTGAAGAATACTGTTGAGTTTGTACACAGGTAGCCTGATCTAAACGTATCTCTTGTGGATGGCTTAACCTGTGGAGACTCACTAAAGAGGGGATAAAAGCGATCTAACTTTAGTGACACTGTCTCTTGAATGCGCTCATTGTAGAGCTGTTTGGAAATACGAACTACCCATGCCATTGACACCTCATTATCGACTTCACCACCTTAATCGAACCCAAATCAAGGACTTCTTGGCATCGAAATGAAAACAAGGTGGAGAGAGAGGAAAAGAAGCAGAGTATTATTCGCTAAAAGTAATCTTAAATTTCCTTCTATTACCTGAGTAAAACCATAGCCCTTTTAGAAAACGATCCAGCTTTGAACGCACAATGCTAGCGATACCTACCCCTTTAATGCGGTTCACTACGATATACAAGCTCCAGATCCAGTGGAACGGGGACCCAATATCTTCTTGCCGCCATAAAATTGTAATGAAAACCATCCTTGGCTAGTGGTTGGATTTTAAAACACCGACTGCATTCTGATGCTTGAAGCAGAAAAGTGACTAAGTAGAGCATCCAAAACTGACGCGGCTTATGCTTTTGTTTAAGTGACATGGACAAAAGGTTATGTCTTTGACCTCCAACCCTTTTACCCTACTGGCAATGCCCATTACGGCTTTGGGGAAAACTCTTGACATTGTAAGCGTACATAATCTAGATGTAACTCCATTTTGAAGTGAAGTTGTAAGACTTTCGATTTTGGTTACCTGTTCATTATAAACTCGTACGGTAGGGCTGGAAGAGTAGAGGCACGGGTGGCGCAAACAAAGCTTCATGTCAAAATCGCAATTGCCGAACTGTTAAAAAAAGGAAATGGTCCGCGTAGTTGGCTTCACATATATAAACCAGACTTCTCTTTCACGTTTGGTGACTAGGCATAGAGATGTGAACAAATTTTAAATTGTAGTGGACAAAGTTCAGGGATTATTAGAAGACTCGCGTTTACTTCACCACCACCACGACTTAACAACTTGCAATTTCTCTAAAACACAGTAGATAACACAATTACAGAGATGCCTATGCTTATTCAAGTTAATTACCATCTACTTGAGCAAGACTGATACTTAGTGACAAATCTATCTGGTCGGACAGATATACCGATGGGGTGTTGGCTACTTTGGAAGTTACATTTGACCAAAGCATTGGTGATGGAGCAGCTGCTCATCCGCGTCAACATCTCCTTCATCTGTCAAAGCTCGCCTACTCCCTTTATTCCTCTCCTCCTCTCTCCTCCCCGCCTAATTCTTAAGACCTGTCATCGCGTCCGCGGTTAATGGGACCAAAAAGGGGAGGAAGGAGCGGAGGTGGAAAAGTGTTGCGATGGCAACAGAAGAGGAGTAAATTGAAGTGGAAGTGGGATTCGGACTGGCTAAATGGCGGTATGGGTGTGGGAGTGTCAAGGTTGGATTGTTGTTGCTGGGGGAGAGAGTACGTGAGAGCTTTGGCACCCAAAGCCTAATTCCATTCTGCCTTTGTGTGAGTAGGATCTTCATTATTTTCACCACTTCCAGGGGCTCCATCGGTAAATGAGGTGAATGGCTGGATACGAGATGGATGATCGGGTAGCTTTCCATATAATCAGATTATCATGGGGGAATACCTGTCTCAAAAGGCAAAGCTTCACATCCCAACAAGACCCAATTTTTTCTCA